GACTATTCTCCAGGGTGGGGAGGGGGGGATGCAGGAAGAGACTAGACAAAAATCATACACCTATGAATGAGGACAGTGGGAGGGGTAAGAACAGGGGGTGGGGTGGGAACTGGGTGGAGGAGAGCTATGGGGGGGGGAGAGAAACAACTGTAATAATCTGAACAATAAAGATTTATTTTAAAAAAAGAATAAAGAAATCAAGTTCAGCTTAATGTAGGTAAATGCAATTGTGCCCAAGGCTGGAATATTTCACTCTGCTTTTGCCTGCAGGTTATATTTTTGTGGCTGGAAAAAATGTTCTTCAATAGCAGTAACTAGTTCATTTAGTTCTTTCTTCAGCTGCTCAGGATCACTGCAAAATAAGGGGGGAAATTCTAGATCAGTGGATTTTCACAAAGCATATTTTATTTTTTAAATACATTTTTATTGATTTCAGAGCGAAAGGGAGAGGGAGAGAGAGATAGAAACATCAATGATGGGAGAGAATCATTGATCTGCTGCCTCCTGCACGCCCCCTACTGGGGATCGAGGCCACAACTCAGGCATGTGCCCTTGACCAGAATCAAACCTGGGACCCTTTAGTCCCACAGGCGACGCTCTATCCACTGAGCCAAAACAGCCAGGGCCCAAAGCATATTTAAATTCTCCCCACTGTGACCAAGTACAACTGACATGTAACCTTCAGAGGAGGGCTACTAATAAATACGACAAAACAGAAGTCCAGGGTGCCTAGCCTCTGTTAACAACAAAAAACCCCATGAGACAATATCAATTATTTTACCCAAAGGCTTTCCCAAAGTCTCAACCATAAACAAAAACCACCCCTTTCTAGTCTTCAAAAGAATGTTTAAGAAACACAATGTTTGCCCTCACATCCCTAAAGTTCTGCAATGTTTGTGCCTAACATCGCAGAGAAAACTTCACGACTCCAGTTGTCACTGAGTCTTGCTGAACTGTTACAAGCCACAGCTGTTATGCCCTAGGTCTCCCAGGACAAGAAAGTTCCTGATCCTGTTTCCCCACAAACTTCTGGAAGCTAGGCGGCAGGTGTGGCTGTAAGGCCTTCCTAGACCAGACAGGGCCAGGGAGCCTCCTAGCGGGCCTGCTAGTCACGCACCAGGAACTCAGACCCTGGGGTTTATCTTCATTATTCTACCTCCAGAACAAAGGGCCACAACTAAAATATAAACTCTCATCTAGGGAGCAAGATCCCGCTAAGGAAATCCAGCTTTTAAGCAGGTGGAAAACACTCATTCACATGTAAATGATTGGAAGGCAGATGACAGATAAAACGGACTTGGAATTAGACAAGTTTCCAGCAGCTCATATAAGTGTCAGGCCAGTAGCACAGTATGAGTTACTATGAGAACTTTAACCCCAAAAGCTACTTAAAAAAGCTAAATCCTTCAATTCAAAATTTCATTACTTCATACTTAACCATCTTTCACATACTAGTATACAAACTTTTTAAAATATATTTTATTGACTTTTTTACAGAGAGGAAGAAAGAAGGATAGAGTTAGAAACATCGATCAGCTGCTTCCTGCACACCCCCTACTGGGGATGTGCCCGCAACCAAGGTACATGCCCTTGACCGGAATTGAACCTGGTACCCTTCAGTCCGCAGGCCGATGCTCTATCCACTGAGCCAAACTGGTCAGAGCTACAAACTTTATTTTAATGGAGATGGCAATCCTTGCCACTTAAGATCATTTTTACATTGTGCAAGCTAAGAGTACAACTAACACAACCCATCTTGTTACAGGCGTTAATTCTGGCTCTACTGGTTGCTAGGGTGTGCCCCGGGGAAGGCTCAGCCTTTGGAAGGCCCAGATTCCTCATTTGTAAAATTGGGATAAGGACTGTACCTGCCCAAGAGAGTTGCTGTGTAGATTGAGACAAATTATAGAAAGCAATTAGCATAGAATCTGGCCCCAAAACCTCAATAAATGTAAGCTGTCATTATAATTATTTTTATCCCTGTTGGTAACACATAAAGTAATTATGCTTCATAAGTACATATGAATCATGCAGGTCTTTTTTTCCCTTCCCCATAAGTGTGCTTTGAAGAAAAAAGCAATCCTCAGGAAGGCACATAACTAATTACTGTGTGTGTTTTTTCAACAATATACCTAAAACTCAACAGTGAATTTCCTACATATGGACACACAGACATATATATATCTGTAGTCTACAAAGCGCTATCTATGTATCTTTATAGCTCCAACTGGTCTTGTTTCTTTTAGAACTCTCCCTGATATAATTATTATCTAAACCTTAGCTAGTAAGGAAAGTCTTTGTTCTTAGGAATGCATATTAAAGTCTATGACTTACTTTTAAATGGCTCAGGGGAAAAATAAACAACAACCAAAAATATAATGTATATAGTGAGAGAGAGCAAATATCACAAAATGTTAGCAATTGCTAATTCTAGGTTGAGGTAGGGAAACCAGGGCTTTATGGTGTGTTTGCGTAAATTTTACTGAAACATTGCCACACCCATTCCTTCATGTCTATGGCTGTTTTCTAGCTACGACAGCAGACCCAGTAGTTGTGGCAGAAACCATAGGACCTGCAAACCCTAAAGTATTTACTATCTAGCTCTTTACAGGAAAAGCTTGCCAAGTCCTGGTCTAAGCAAGGGTATGTAATATTCTCTACATTATTATTTCAACATTTCTGTAGGTTTCAAATTTTCCAAAATAAAAACTAAAGACATCTACCCCAACAAAATATTTTTTAAAAAGCAGAACTTATACCAGAAAAGGATTTCATATTTTAAGAAATTAGTAGGTCATGAAATTCTATGAATAAGTGAAATTCATGATATGACTATATTAGTAATATTTTAGGTTATCAGAAAATAAGGAAACCTTAGCCATGATTTTACTGCTGTTGTACAGTAGGTATGCTGGTGCCTGGCTTGAGCCCCGATAGCATAGCCATAGCTGACTTAGTGCTTAATGACCCATTTAATGAAAGCAAGCAACATTTCAATGCATATAATAAAAGCACACTTTTTCTAAGTGTTTTCAGCAATTTATAAATCAGTATTTGAATTTAAATCCACTCAGTAAGCCATGTGAAAATGTAAATACCACAGACCCTTAAACATTAAATAGTACTGTTATTTTAAAGCAAAGTTTTCTGGAATATTACGCACATTTTCCACAGGATAATGAAAAGGAAAAGACAAATATCTATAGAAACATCTTTAAATTGGTCTAACGTCTTTTTCCCTCCACCCCCCCAAAAAAGAATAAGATACAGAAATATACAAACACTAAGTGAGAATGAGAATTACAAAGAAGCCAATGGAAAATCATACTCGAGGTAGTAGCAAACAGCTTGTTATTTAACACACATGGAAACACCAATACTTGTATAATCCTACATAATAAGGAGGTAATATGCAAATTAACCCTCATGTCCTCACAAGATGGCTGCCTACAACCAGGCCAGTAGTAGGGTTAGTGAGGGACGACCAAATAACTGAACACCAGGCTGCGTGGGGCGACAAGGCCGGTAGGGGGGCCGTGAGAGGCGGCCAGGCCGGTAGTGGGGTGCAGTTAGGAGAGACCAGGCTGGCACACAGAGGCAGTGAGGGGCAACAAGGCAGGCGGGCAGGTGAGTGATTAGGAGCCAGCGGTCCAGGATTGTGAGAGGGATGTCTGATTGCCAGTTTAGGTCCAATCCCCAGGATCGGGCCTAAACCGGCAGTCGGACATCTCCCAAGGGGTCCCGGATTAGAGAGGGTGCAGGCTGGGCTGAGGGGAGCCCCCACCCCGTGCATGAATTTCATGCACTGGGCCTCTAGTATTCCATAAAACACTGGTAATGCAAAGTGCTCAGAAAATGAGCTGTTTTATGTTTAAGTTGCTTCATAGCTGAGTTTTTGCCCTTTAAGCACAAGAAGGTTTTAATGAGAATCTGTAGCAAATCTATTACAGTCCCATGACTTCATAGATCCATGTGATTAAGTACCTCGATGGTTAAGAACTATAATCACGACTCTGACAGCTGTTAGGCAGCTCTTACTCAGAAGATGCAGGGCCCACTGGGAGCAGAATACTATTTCACTTAAACTCTCTGAGTTCTTGTTTCCATGTTTCTAGTTTTGTTTTGCTTCAGTATTTCTTGCTTTGCTATCAGCACTCACTTTGCCTGTCTAAGGGAAGTCTAACCCTAACAATTGTTTCCTTACCCGCTCCTAATTTGCTGTATTTTAATCTGCTATTGGCTTGCCAATTTAAGATGCTCAGCAGTGTTCCTCTCCTCCCACTTCCACATGGGGCAAATCTGATTCACAAACTCAGAAAAACCTTTCTGCGAGCAAAGCTTTGGAATACATGTTGTAACAACCACCAAGTCTCCTGCCGTCTACTACAGTAGCCACTAGCCACACGTGGCCGTCAAGCATTTGAAATATGCCTTGTACAACCAAGAAACTGATTTTTAAATTTCATTTAAGTCCGATTGATTGAAATTCAAATTTAAAAATTGACACTTGATTTGGCTGTTGGAAAACTTAAGTATGTTTGGAATAACTGGGGTATCAAATTCTACGTTTTCTACTGTAAATTTTATGAGATCTAAATACCGTTATAGTATTTTCAAAAAAAATTTGGCATTTGAATTGAGATACATGGTAAGTTGTAAGGTACTAAATGGATTGTGAAGACTTTGTGTGACAAAAATGTGAAATATCTCAATAACTTTTAGTATGGATTACATATTGTAATGACACTATTTAAATAGACTAAGTGAAATAAAATATATTATTAAAATTAATTTCACCTGTTTCTATTCCCTAATGGAACATTTAAATTTGCATATGTGGCTCACATTTTATTTCTATTGGACAGAGATGAATTCACCTTAAATTTTTCCCCCTGATTCTTAACTGTAATCTAAATAGAGAAGAGCTAGTTAACTGTGGGTTAAGTAGTTTGCAGTAGCGCATTTGCACATGCTAATGGCATACACCACAGTTGTTAAAGTTCAAAATGTCACAGTTGGAAAGTGACCAACTCCAGCCCTTTCCCATACTCACGAAGGCACGACCCTGAAGCTACTAAACCATCAGTCCTTCGGTGGCAAGGACTCTTTCTGACATTGACTCTTTATCCTGGGACCCAGCATAGCCCAATGCAACCAAACAGGTGCTCAAAATATGTGCTGAATGCACGAGCAATGATTTTACTTTATTGTATCAGGTACATGCGGAAAAAGAGAAAAAGTCATTGGGGCTTACCTCATATAAAAAGTACTAGAGCCCTAGATGGTTTGGCTCAGTGGATAGAGTGTTGGCCTGAGGACCAAAGGGTCCCAGGTTCGATTCTGGTCAAGGGCACATGCCTGGGTTGCAGGCTCGATCCTCAGTAGGGGACGTGCAGGAGGCAGCCAATCAATGATTCTCTCTCATCATTGATGTTTCTATCTCCCTCCCCCTCTCCCTTCCTCTCTGAAATCAATACAAATATATTTTTAAAAAAAATAGTACTAGAAAAAGGAAATAATATTACTATTACTGAAATTAGGAATGACATTTTTATCATACAAAGAAAAGTTGGGAGAGAAAGAGATGTAATTAAGCTTGAAGGGAACACTTGTGTCCCTGGATGCTCCAAGCAGCTGTTAATATCACAGCATTTGCTGTAGGTTCTGGAACAAGCTTCCCAGTTCAATGACATACTGTGGAGGAAATGTTTTACTCAGCATATAAACAGAACCAACTAGGAAGTTTAGGGACTGAAAACCATCCACATCTTACCTGTTTCCAGGTGGGGCACACAGTTCCGCGTAGTACTTGATTTTGGGCTCTGTCCCACTGGTCCGCATGGTGGCCACGCATCCATTCGCAAAGGTAAAGGTGATCATTTGACTGCTTTTACTAGTAGGCAGAACCTAGGAATGAATTATACACATTCTGAATGTATATAGAAACAGAAACTCTTCTGGCCTAAATAATAGTTTCCTCTAGATATACAAGAAAATAAATGCCAAGCAACTATATTGGTTCAGGAAGAAGAACATTGTGGAGAAAATCTGAAAATGCACTGCATACAAATGACACACTAGATAATAATAAAAAGGAAATGTGTGAAATTTAAGTCAACTTTGTAGGCTTTTACCTCTTCCATTCTACTCATGAAAACGATTAAAGCTTTACTAAAATTGAAATATATAATTTCACAAGAAATTGATTTAAATAGATTAATGATGCATTACAAAAAAAATAAAATAAAAACAATACTAAACCTTACTTAACTTTGCAAAAATGTCTATGAACAGACTTAAAAAAATAGAGCTTCTGGTGGATGTATTCATAACTGGAAGCCTCACTAAAATGACAGGAGTATGAGAAACAAAACAAACACAGGGGCAAAGAGGAAGAAAGGGAACCGCAGTAGATGGGGTGGCCAGCCGATCTGGGAAGTCAGAAAACAGATGGAGGAGCAGACCTGCCCCGGAACACGGGCTGACAGCTGAGCACTGCCGGCGACAGACAAGAACCCAGTCGAGGTGTTCTGCAAAACCTGCCAAACTCACTACCTGAGGCACCGGGTGCTGCAAAGGGTGGGGGAAAGGCAAGATGGTATTTGAAAGTGGCTGTTAGACCCTCTCGGATGCTCACCCTCTGCCATATTAATACAAGCACAGAATCTCATGTCACCCAAAGTTATGGTATAAATGTATTGTGAGGACGGGGAGGAAGGGGAATGGTGAATGCTGGAAGTGTAAGAACTAAAATCCTTATCTCCATAACAGAAAATTAATAGAGTCTAACACTGATAATTCAAAACATCACCATATAAGCACAGTATTTAGAAACCTGTTGGTAAAGTCCAGGAGAAAAAACTGAGAGGGAATGTGGTTGTCGATGCATGACAATGAGATGGCAGTGGATGGATCTGCCATGTTTCATTGTAACTCTTAATACTATTTATCTTTCAGTAATATATGGTGTATTGCCCGGCTGGTGTGGTCCGTGGCTGAGTGTTGACCTAAGAACCAGGAGGTCACAGTTCAATTCCCAGTCAGGGCACATGCCCAGGTTGTGGGCTCTGTCATCAGTAGGGGGTGTGCAGGAGACAAGCCGATCAATGATTGTCTCTCATCCTTTTTTTTTTTAAAATATATTTTATTGATTTTTTACAGAGAGGAAAGGAGAGAGACAGAGAGCTAGAAACATCGATGAGAGAGAAACATCGACCAGCTGCCTCCTGCACACCCACAACTGGGGATGTGCCTGCAACCAAGGCACATGCCCTTGACCGGAATCGAACCTGGGACCTTTCAGTCTGCAGGCCGACGCTCCATCCACTGAGCCAAACCGGTTTCGGCTGTCTCTCATCCTTGATGTTTCTATCTCTCTCTCCCTCTTCCTTCCTCTCTGAAATCACTAACAGACAAGAGTTTGATGAAAGTGGATGTGACTTACCGCTTTTTTGTCAGGCTGGCCATCATCATAGCCAGTGGTAAGGTCTCTAATGCCAGAAATCTCAAATCTGCCACAAGTTTTTGGATAATTATTCTTCCCATCATAGTTTCTAAGGTTCTCAAATAATTTCTTAATGGTTCCTTGATCATGGCAGATAAAATATGAAGCTTTGGTAATATGGTAGCCATACCTATCAAAACAAATACAAATACATGCAAAATGAGGAACAAATAATTCTGCATAACGTATACAGAACGGGCACCAACCAGCACATTCTCAAATACGTAATGAGACAAATGACCATGACTAGCTTCAAAGCAATCATTTAGCATTAAAAAGGAGGTACAACAATTTACCCGAGGGCTCACCAAGCTGCTACCTTGCCTTCAGGCTATATTTGTAAGTAAAATTATACTGGAACAGCCATACCACACCCATTGCATTATGTACTGTGTCTGGCTGCTTTTGCATCAGAAAGGCAAGAGTTGAGAAATTGCTATAAAGACTAAATAGACGTTTCATGAACACATTTAATCTTTTTTGGCATCAGACACTTAAAATCACATTCTGTGCCATGTTCTCATTTAGTAAAGATTAGTGCTATCACAAATGGTAAGTATCAAAAGGAAAAGATAATCTCTTATTTCGTTTTCTTAAGAAATAGAATTCATAACTAAAGTCAGAGCACTGGAAAGAATATTAGCATCTCATACACAAGAACAAAATACACTTAAAATACATTGCCACATGTGGTAATGTATGTTAACGATTTATTGTGGCAACCATGTCCCAATATATACACATATTGAAGCATTACATTGTACACATGAAACTAATCAAATTATATTACTTCAATTCAATAATCAATAGAAACTTACTCAACATAGATGGCCTTTAGCTGCTGAGACAGAGACAAATTTTTGGTTGCAAGAAAGCTAGCCAGCTCTGCGCTTATGACAGCGGCACTGACTCCATCTTTGTCCAGAACAAAAGGGCAGCACATATATCCTGCAGAGACACATGTCAGACACAGACACTTAGGAGTGGGTTCCTTTATAACATTGTGGTGCATGTATCTACACACACCCTGCCTATCACATAAGTGGTTTAACAATATAAGTATATGGATGCTTCTCATTTGCCAGTATTATAGTTAAGAATCTAGCCAGTGCTCAGCACATAGTAGGCCTTCAAGAAGTATTTGTTGAATAACCTGTAAGGAGAGTCTTCCTCCCAGACAATGGTGCTTGTTTCCTAGGTCCAGCCCAAATTCCTCCAGCTCCCACAGAACTGTTTCCAGTTGTTCTAGTCAAGGCTTATGCTGTCTTCTCTGAATCCCCATAGTTCTTGTGAGTTATATTATTCATCTTGGTTCCTGGCCTATTGCCTTCTGTGTGGTAATTTAACTAGATCCTTGGCAACTGCTGTAGGCAGAGGTCAGTGCCCATTTCTTTCAGAATGACTGTGTAATTGACATGCAATAAATATTTGATAAACCAATGCAAAAATATTATTAAATAAAAAGCTATAGAAAGAGAAGACGACTGCCAATTGTGAGCAAAAAAGAGCAACGCTGAGCAATTCCACTTGGTTTAATTGGTTCAATTTTATGGGTGCTGCAGGAAATATGCAGATGAATCAGAAAAATACATATTATAGGATAAATATGATGTGTCAGAGCTTGTGCTGAATGAATAGCTAAAATATCCCCAGCACAAACATCTGAATTTCAGGTGTCTGTGGCTCACTCTCCTTTATGCTCATTCCTATTGATAGTTTAAGACAAGTGTTTTTCTGTCATCCTGGCTGGGCTTGGGGTCATCCTTTCAGGTGACAATCACTTTGATGAAGGCACCACGACTTGGCCTTCTTCCTTGTGGACAGACACTTAGGTCTGGATATCAACTCCATAGTGGAGGAAACAGCACACTCCCCAACAATGTAGATTCTTAAGCTGCCAGCACCCGTGTGCACAGTGTTGCTGTTTTCAGTCGTCTGGGGAAAGGATTCACTTTCTTACACTAATGTCTTGGTTATTTGCCAGATATTCTTTCTAGCTGAATGCAATCTGAGATGCCAATTTAGGGAGAGGACAGTTCAACGCTCTTCGAATGCCACAGAAGCAAAGCAAACTGTGTGCTCCTGTTTCACACTAATTTACTGAACCCAAATCCAAATCCACATCTTTTCCCACATATTTGCATTCTGTGTATCAACAAATTCTATGAGCATCACATGGCTTCTTACCAATAGCTTCTTCAAATGCAAATAAGACATTTTTCCCCTGGTCTAATAGCTGCTTGGCTCGGTTTCCCATCCATTTAAAGCCAGTTAATGTTTCCTAAAGGGATAATCCAAAAGAGAAAGACGTGTCTTAGACCTTCAGTAGAGCAAACGAAAGGCGAAAGACTATGTGCCCCCAAAAACCTTACCTCAAAGTGAAAACCCTCCTTTAAGGCAATGGCCCGCAAGATTTTGGAGGAGACGGTGCTGGACAGCATGTACGTGTCCTTGAGGGCATTGGGATCTTGGTTCTTTTCTTTCCAACAGGTAAAGAGCCACCAGCCCAAGAGGGCCCCCAACTCGTTGCCAGAAAACACTCTCCATTCGCCACTGAAAGAGAAAACAACTGTGCACTGCTGAGTTCTCCAAAGACACTGGGAGCCCCTGCAACAGGACAAGGAAGCTAAACAAGGTTCAAGGTCGTTTCTGGAAGACGCCCTGTTATTGTTGTTTAAATAACTGGCCAGACACGTGTCTGCTGCTTCCCAAACATGTGAGCATCTATCACGTCTCAGCCAGTGTCAGAGGTGACACGTGAACTCATTTTTTTGGTTGATTTTTCTTTGTTAAATGACACTTAAATATATAAAATAAATATCAAAAATATACATATTTGTTTTACTATGGTTGCAAATATCAAAAAATTTCTATATGTGACACGGCACCAGAATCAGGTTAGGGTTTTTCAAAATGCTGACACGCCGAGCTCAAAAGGTTCGCATCACTGGCCTAGACAAACAGCCAATCTTTGAAGAGCGTGTAAAAGTATGTCAGTGATTACACATCATTCCTTTTCTCTTTGTTTTCAGCAAAGGCTTTTTCAACACAACAGGAATATGCTGACAAGATCCCCCAACTATACTAGTGTGTGCGTCTTAATTTTCAGTCAGTTTTATTGAGTCTGAGAGGGCAACAGCTTAGCATTCCTTAAGATTGAGCTTGATGCTAAAATGGTGAGGACGCCAAAAACATGCGTGGGATTTATCTTCCTCTCTGTGGTCCACGTGGCTAGAAGTACAGTGCATGTTCCAGCACATATCATCTTAGCTTGATTTTCTAAAAACGGATATAGAATTGACTCTGTTTTATCATAATCTAAAACCCTAACCCTTTAATAGCACCACACTCCCCGAAACGTCACATATGCCATCTGATACCTGAAACTGCTGGAACCCTGCCTGCCTTTCAACGCCTCCCACCCGCAACTTATCACCCCTCTGTGCACACCCTACAGCAGTGGTTCTCAACCTCCTGGCCCTTTCAATACAGTTCCTTACGTTGTGACCCCAACCATAAAATTATTTTCGTTGCTACTTCACAACTGTAATGTTGTTACTGTTGTGAGTTGTAATGTAAATATCTGATATGCAGGATGGTCTTAGGCGACCCCTGTGCAAAGGTCGTTCGACCGCCAAAAGGGTCGCGACCCACAGGTTGAGAACTGCTGCTCTACAGTCAAACTTGCCTTATACTGTCAGTACTCCACAGGCACTCCTCTCTAGTCTGCTCAACCTGAGTTCAACATTTCCTGGAAGGTCAGCTCCTTACCAAACCTCTGGCGAATAAAGAACTGCAAAGCCAGCACCAAGCAAAGCACTTTGTCCTCATTAGGCACTGAGTCATTAATTATAATGAAATCAATAATAAAAAGATAACAGGGAGTGATTTCAATTCCAGGTTCACACTGGGCAGGTTCACTCTGCACTGTGCTTGCAGGGTAATCGTGTGGCCCCCGTGTCAGCACCCTGCTCTCCAGCAACCCAGTGAGATGATCATTTGCAAAGTAAATGGGAAATATTGCCAAATAGGTCTGGTCTCCCCAGAAGCATTTTCCTGCCCAGGATGTCACCCTTTATCATTTCTATTATGTAGGCAATCACAATGAGTTCGTACCTGTCTTGCTTTTCTGCTACAGCAAGTCTATCAGCATCTGGGTCATTTGCTAAAATGACTTTGGCCTTGATTTTGTCAGCCAAAGCGAAAGATAAAGTCTGAAAAAGAGCAGAAAGAAAGAATATTTCCCATCAAGAATCGAGGACATTGCAGTCTTTAAAAACGTTCAGTTATTTAAGAACCAAAAGAGAATTTTCCCCAAACTCAGGCTGAATTTCATTTCTGGAGCTGGTCTTGGCTGGTCATGTATTACTTCCTGAGCCAGGTCAGATAATGAGAGAACCAGCGCACGACCCAAGCCTGCACACAGAATTCACCCCACAGCTGATCGTGTGTGTGCAGCTGGTGTGGTACCTCCAGGCTTCCCATGTGATCAACCTCACAAACAAACCAAAACAAACTGGCTCTCTGAATCTCACTGTCACCCTACCCTTTAAAAGGCTGAAGGAACCATAATTTCAATAGTACTTCCTCATATCAGAAAAATGACAATTAAGGAATAAAATTCACGGGAGGACAAATTTCCATTCTATTACTGTTTCCTTTTGGCATTAAGGAAGCACAGTAACTTAAACTTAATTCATTAAATTTAATTTAAAACATTTAGATTTCAGCCCTCATATCCTGATGCTAACATATCTAATTTGAAAGTTCCTTTAAGAAATGGATGATCGATTAATAAATACAAATATTTCCAAATTGTAATACTTTAAGCAATAAAAAAAAAGAAATGGATGATTGATTAATAAATATAAATATTTCCAATGATGAAATTATTTTTGTTCCATACAATGAAAGCACATAAAAAACTGCATTGTACTTGGTAGTCATAGTTTTGAACAGAAGAGGTAAGCTTTATAAATAAAAATATGAGGTTACCAAGACACCTTCACCCTCTTCAGGATTCGGGTATTTCACTGTTGGGAACTCAGGATCGGGGTCCTTCTGTTCGGGAACAGCCTCGGGAGGAACAAAGTCAAAAGCCCGGAAAGCCGACTGCACGAAGCGGTGGCCCACACCATGGACGGAGGTGTGCACAAACTTCAGCTTGGTCTCCTTGTTCACACTCCTGGAACCAGACACATCACGGAAAATGATCAAATACACAAACGTGACTTTCAAAACGGGAAGGTTTGCAAAGTATCCAGGAACCAGATCGACGAGACATCAGTGTGATACAAACGTACAAGACAACGAGGGTCTTTCTAATCGCATTAAAAAAACCTACTCCTCTCCAATATAATACCTCCCTTCCAACAGGCTCAAGTTTTAAATTTTACTCTGCACTTATTTTCAGCAAATCTGATTCCTGTCAGAGTTTATGATGCAGAATTCACACCGAGAGTGGGAGAGCAGAAAGAGCCCTGGGCTCAGGTTCCAACCTATGGCGAATATCTGATATATAACAAACACTCAATTAGTATTAGCAATTGTTTGAGAAAAGTAGTTTCCAATTGGTCAAAGAAGGATAGGTTCTTCAATTTAACATGTTGGTACAACCACAAACCTTTTAGGAAAAAAACACACGCCTAATTAAACAGAATTAAAAATCACCAATGACTCAAAAGAGTTAAATATTACGAAATATACAAGTCCAAAAAAATAGGGGGAGGTTTGTGGGGTTTTTTTTTATAATTGTGGCGTACAGCTCCAGTAACTGCTCAAGAGCTCCTTGGAGTGGGCCAAACTGGAAACCCTTAGCTTTTTATTTTGTTTTGTTTTAATCCTCTTAAGTATGACACAAAACCTGGAAGTCATAAATTAAAAACTGGTAAACATCCAATTTTTATAGAAGTTCAGCAGAAAGATTCAATAAAAAATCCAAAGGCAACACTGGAAAGGAAAATATTTGAAAATAATGAAGTCCAGTTTTCTACACAGGCAAAGAGGTTTCACAAATCCAAAAGACGAACAAATACACAGAAAAATATAGGTTAAATAAATATGAAAAACAGCTTATTTAGAATGAAATAAAGTGAGATATTACTTTCATTTAACAAACTGGGAAACATGAGAAACTTGATAATACTCAGTGAGGTAAGAATGTGTGGCTCTTATCCCGTTGGTGGGAGTGTCAACTAACATTTTTGGAGAGCAATTTGTAAACCATTATCAACTTTGTAAATGCACATACAATTCTGATGCCAGAAATGCACCTAAGGATACACATGGAAATATGTACACTTAGATACACACACAGACACGACCCATGGACTCCAGTAACTGCTCAAGAGCTCCTTGGAGTGGGCCAAACTGGAAACCCTTAGCTTTTTATTTTGTTTTGTTTTAATCCTCA